GGGAGAGGAGAGAGGGTGGGTCTAGTTCTGTGGAAGATCCCCGCCCCACGGAAGGATGCAGAGGGAGACTGGTTGATCGGTCAAGTGGACTGATGCATGCTTTCACCGCGTGAACAGGTGATACGCCGGGATGAACGCACGCACATACATGCGTACATGCGCAGAGATTACACATAAAAATACATGGACACATATACTAATACACGCATGTGCACGAAAAACATCCTTAATTGACTTTTTTTCTTAATTTCTTGTTAAAATCGGTCACTGATCCCTATGCAAAGTGAGAAAGCATGTTCATTCAGTCACGTCTTTCGATGCCTTTGCTGGTCGCATAGTTAGCTCTCTATACTATCTATACTATAGCCCTTAGCCCCCACCCCCCAACACACGCACCTCCTCCCATAGGAACCAAAGGCACGGCCGGACCTTCTGCGCCCTCTGTGACAAGTCGTGACTCCCTGTGGCGTCTGTGACCCCTCCTGCTCTCCCACCCCGCCGGGAAGCGTCCATGCAGAACCACTTGTCATCGTCTTTCCGCATGATAACATCACCTCCAGACGTTCTCGACTAATCTTGGTGACCAGCCGACCACGCCACTATTCATTATTCGCCTAGCGAATGTAAGATAAATCTCTAAGTTATTAAGGTTTGTGCGTCCCCTGATGTCATTCCTCCCGCATATTGAAAAGAACATTAACAACATAAAAACATGAAAACTAAGAATTAAAGAAGCAGAACACACACATGTGCGCGCGCGCGCGTGTGCGTGTGTGTGTGCGTGTGTGTGTAAATATGAGTGGTCAATGTCCACAAATCCATCCTAAGCAACACTACACAGTAAAGGAATGCCCGGTACTGCATGACCCAACCCGTTGCAAAACAAAACAAACAAAGCCGTCCCTGACCCGAGACAAGGCTCTTCGTTGCACAACACTTTCCTTATCGGAGATTTTCCTTACCTTGAAGTTGCTACTCTGCAGCCATGGCACGAGGCCGTCGATGAACATGCCGATGTCATCGCACTCGATGCTGTTGGAAGGCAGGCCAAGGTAATTGATGATGTCCGTGCCTATGGCCAGCTTCTTGCGGGTGTCCGTCGTCTGTAGTAACGGCGTGAACAAATCCATCTGCGACATCTTGAACGAGCACTATACCTTCACCACTACTCTCAAAAACAAAACTTTTATATTTTCCTTCTCCTTTCCTTTTCTTCTTCCAAATGGCTCTCGCGACAACGATCAACTACCCCCACCACGATCACTTGGCATCCCCCGTAGACCGACCACCGCGGGGCCGTGCACACACCGGCTCAACGGGGACGACCTCACTACTCAACACCTCGCTGTGCCCTGCCACTGGGCTGCTTCTGAGACGAGCCTCGCGCTGCCTTCGATCTCTTTCTTGTCCCGCGCCGTGCTTTTCACCATAAAACCTGCGGGAAGGAACACAACAAATGACACATGAGACACTGTCATAGTGAACCAGAAATAGAACAAAAAACAGCAGAAACGTTCCTGTAGTTATTCTAAATATGGTAGATAAAATTGTGTCAAAACTTTACTCGAAAATAATCATTTTCTCCTTACTATTAACAAAAACTAATTCGAGACTAGAAAGTAACAGTTCAATATTAAAAGGATAAAGAAATATGAACATCTACGCTGTTACAAACTATACTCAGAATAGAGATGACCTCATCCGCAGGCCACAGAACGTAACACCTGGGATGTTATCTTTCTAAAACGGAATCAAAGGGGGAAATAAACCTTCTAACAATGAAATTATATTCCCACATCCACTGAAAATACAACAAAACATTTCCCCATCCCTTACAAACTCTCACATTTTATCATCATGAACAAGGGACTGGTTTGTTATTTTCTTATCATAATGTCATTGTTTCATGTGCCTTAACAACGGGAGATCATAAGCACCAATACCCATATTTGGTCTCTGTATCTTTCATTGTCATACTTCAAGATAAAGTTCACGTTGGATCAAGTATCTGAAGGTTGCTGACATTGCAATTTCATGACCAAAATGTCAAAATTATGGCAAATACTTCATTGAAGATATATAAAAAAGAATCTAGACTTACTGAAATTGTTATACTAGCACTGATTTAAGCAGTCGAACATCAAAGGTTTTTAAGACTTATTTTCTTTTGTCAGTATTATTACCACAATTTTTATAGCATCAAAATAAATTCACAAAGAAATAAAACCAGGAAAATCAACCCTGGCTAAACTTTCATATTTCTGCATGTCCTTGAACTTAAAATACAATACTTAACACCTGTAGGCCTAAAAACAGAATAAAAGTTTCCGGAAATTGATTTATATAAACGTTTCTCTGTTATTAAACACAAGAGTTTGATGAACAAATGAACAAATAACTATCCGAGCACTAATCAAAACTCATTCCAATTTCTGAGTGAGAATAAAAATAAAATGGAAAAATAAATAATCCACTTAACTACAATATTAACAAGATATTT